TACAGTTACCGCGAGAACTCAGCAACGTCCATCATGTATTCCACGTGTCGAACCTAAAGAAGTGTCTGTCCGACGAGACACTTGTGATTCCTCTCGACGAGATCGAATTGGACGAGGGTCTACACTTCGTGGAAGAACCTGTCGAAATCCTGGATCGGAAAGTCAAGCGTACGAAACAGAGTCGCATCTCGATAGTGAAGGTCCGCTGGAATGCCAAGCGGGGTCCTGAATTCACTTGGGAGCGCGAGGATTCAATGAAGCAGAAGTATCCCCATTTATTTCCAAGTTCATGATTGTGCTTTATTCTTAAATTTCGGGATGAAATTCCCTCTAACGGGGGGATGATGTGACAAGCCGGAAACTTCAATCTTGTACACTTAGTCAATTCAATCAATATTTAACTTGTTTTGTTGATTTCTGGTGCTATTTAAGGGTTCATTTAAGTGTTCTAAGCTTGTATATAACCAATGTTGAGTTTAGGAATGAGTCAGAGTGTTGAATAGTGAGAAAATCGGGCCATACACACCTCTTGGAGGAGTGTACGGCCGTACACATGGGTGTGCGGCCGCACACCCACTCCCTTGGCAGCACACCCACTTTTGGGCAGCACCCTTACCCCTATATAAAGGGTAGCCCCCTTCCTTTCATTCCTTTAGCACCTTGGCAGCACACAACATCATTTCCTCTCAAGTTTCTCCAACTTTGAACCTTCCAAAGCTTCAAGAACGTGAGTACTTCTTCCTCTAGGTTACAATCCATGAAAGACCACTCTATCCAAGCTCTATGTGTGCAAAAACGACATGTTCTTCGTGTTTGGAAGTGAGAGCGGCCGCACACCCTCTTAGGGTGGCCGCACACCCCTAAAACACCCTCCAAAGTGAGAGTTTAACTTCCATATTCTATGTAGATGTGCCCCTAGCCTTGCTACACCTTGGAATGGACGTTTGAGCATCATTTTGAGAAGTGTACGACCGCACACACCTGTGTACGGCCGCACACACCCTTGTGCGGCAGCACACTCCAAGTGTGCGACCACACACTCATTCTAGGACCATAAACCCACTTCTAGGACCCTTATCTTGCACTACAATTGAGTATTGACCTAGAACACTCCGTGGATGTGAGTGTGGACCTTGAGAACACTTTGAAGATACCTCATTTCATGAGTGTACGGCCGCACACCCATTGGGCCGCCCACTCATGGCCGCACATACACTCTAGGTGGCCATACACCCCCTACACTCAATCCTACAAGGTCCTATCACTTGGTGCAAATAGTTTCAAGCCCCTAGAGAGGTTTTCCATCACTTATAGTGATGAAATACCTTCATTTGACTCGTTTATGTGTCATTACATGTTATTAGAATCGAATCGTGTTCAAGGCTTCACTTGAACACCCGACTCTTCGTATCGATCCTTCAATCAAACCACTTACCCGAGGTGAGTTCATACCCCTACTTTCTCCGTGTTTTAAATGTTTTCATGGGGAGGATACAAGCTGAACATAAATGCTTTCAAAACTCATGCAATTCTCATACTTTAACCCCTTTTGTACTGTGTTGAGCATAAGGGTTATTTTTCATTGCATAGTTTTCCGGATTCGCTATTCACTACATTATACATGCAAGCTATAATCGGTATAGTTTGGGATTTTCTAAATATAACAAGTACAAGAATTTTCACTATTAAACATATGCACTAAGACAGAAATGGTTTACATTTTACATCACTACGTTATCACTATAAATATCACTATACACGGTATACATACGGATTTTCACTATGGTAGAACGCTACTACACTACATGTAAACTAGATTGTAAGATACTGTGAGGCAGTACTTCAATACTGTACCCTTAGGTGTACAGGGATAAATCCTATCATAGTATAACCAGAGTCTCCTGGAGGGAGAGCGTGAGATTTGTGAATAGATCTATTCGGGACTGACAATCCCACACCCGAACTACTAGCTACAGTTAGGTAGGCATGCCTGGGGTGACAAATGTCATTTAACTCGACGCCTGAAGAACAATGGAAAGGTCTCTAGTCATATCAAGCATGGTTATACGACTCACATTATGCATAAATGACCTTTAGTTTATTACCTGACACTCTTCAATGGTTTTATTTATACTAAATAGAACTAAAATACACTATGTATACTGGCTAAAGCCAGGGTTTTCAAACATAATTGATTATGAAATGGTTTTACATACAAAATACTTATACTTAATGATTAGCTTTAGCTAGTCACATGGGGTAGTATTTTCGCATATCACTACAGTTTTCAGTAACGGACATTCATGGTTTTATACGGAGTCAATAACACTACATCTTCATTAAAGAAAATATCGGATTTTCTTGAAAATATACAAACATTTCTGCTAGCTCATCAACAAGTTTTCATTACAAACTACTGCTTATGAACTCACCAGCTTTATGCTGATATTTTCAAACTGCTTGTATTCTCAAGAAATCAGTAGACAGGTACCTGCTGGGTTTTTGAGGAGTTGGAGCAATAAGAGTTTATTGTTTATATTCATACAAACTATATGATGTAATCCAAACAAGTTTCTGACAATTTCCAAATTGATGTAAACATTTTTATTTAAGTATTCAATGTAATGGTTGCGTTGCTATGATTGCTATTATACATTGGTTGTGATGCTATACATGACGTCCTCCACCCCAGAACGTTTCCGCCATTCTGGTTTTGGGGTGTGACAGATAGGATTTCCGTATGTTGTGGGTTGGGAAAGATGAAGAAAAATCAAAGAGAAAAGCTGATGTGGCAGTGAGTTCATTGGGTTCGGTGGTTTGGGAGGGAACGACTCCCTCCTCCCTTAGTGTTTTTAATATTTAAGAAAGACAATTAAGGATTTATGGTAAGCAATAAGTGAAACGATGATTTTTGGCCTTTGCCCTCTGACCCTGAAATTGGTACTATCATTTTCGTTTTCTTTTAGGGTTTCGTCGATGATCACAAGTCAAGAAAGAAATAGAAACTTTTCTTCTTTGTTGATTAGAGTTTGTTGTTCATACTACTCGTGTGGATACATATAGATAGTATTCTAGTTTTAATCTTGAGTTTTTACACCAAATGATTTCCACTGCAACCTTGAGGTAAAATTCGATTCCTCTTGCATGATTAATCTTGTTTGATAGGTGTTTAGCTAAGCTTATGAAAAATTGCTTATTACTTTTTAACTTATAGCTTATTAGCTTATAATGGTTTCAAAATGGAGTTTTTAAAAAAAGTGTTTGAATTAACTTATTTGTTGTCAAAACGCTATAAGTTGATAAGTCTTTATAGTGTTTGACAAAATGACCAAAAAATGCTTTCTAGTGATGTTTGACAACTATAATTTTAATGAGTTTTGATAACTTAAGGGTTGGGGGGGGGTGTTTGGCCTTTTTTTTTTTTTTTTTTTTTTTTTTTTTTTTTTTTTTTTTTAAGTTCCACACAAGCATAAGTTAAAAAGAGTGTTTGGATAGAAATAGCTTATACCAGTGTCATACCAGTAATAAGTCAAAATTCATAAGTAAGACACCCTAACTTATCAACTTAGAAGCAATAAAGTATAAGTTAAAAAGTGCTTATGATTTTTCATAAGCTTAGCCAAATACCCTCTTAGTAACTTATCAAAAATTACTTATTTTCGGTTCCACACCACTATAAACTGTTTTTAAAAAACAATCCATCCAAATATTTATTTTAACTTTATACCGGTTTGGAACCGATAATAAGTTAAAAAACTTATTTTTTTAAGCTTAGCCAAACACCCTCGTTGGATCCACTTTTGGGAATTAAAATTTTAAAACCGTTTATCCGCTATAGTTTTTGTTACAAAAATGTTTTGTATGCTATAATTTCCAACCGTGTTTAAAAAGCTTGTATCTCTTGATTATCTTGGAATTTTTAGTTTACCTCCTGACGTCATCCTCATGGAATTTTTGAAAAGAAAATAAGATTTTAAATATTTAAAAACTGTTGATATCTAACTTTTAATGGCCTGATATTAATTTTATTAGTTCAAAATTATTAATTTTATAATATTAACATAAATAATCAAATTACTTCTAGTTTAACTTTATAGTTTAACAATATTAAGTATTGTTTTCACTTCTTAAAGTTGATTTTTAAAGTTGAGAGTTCAAGTCCTTAATTAAAAGTAATTTTTGAATGCCATCCAAAAAAAAATGAAAAAAAGAAAGAAAAAGAAAACATACATAGATTTAATAAACAAACCATTACAATGTTTTCGGACGTGAATGTAGGTGCATCAACTTTATCCGTTTTTAATTATTGTGATTGGTTGATGTTATAATTGTTGTTTGTTATTATTGTAATGGTTTTGGGGTTTTGAAGCCTTATAATTATTGTTATAATTAGGAAAAATGACACGTTAACCCAACAATATATATCGAATTTGTTGATTCAGTCCTTTAACTTATTTGCGTGCTTTATGAGAGAATAAAATTATTTTTGTCAGGTCTAATTGGTAATTTTTGAAGAAATAAAGGGGTAAGTTGATGACTTCCTTGTCACCTCATTAAAGCAATCTACGTGTAATTGCTGATTGTGTGTCCTTAGGATTTTTAATGAGACCAATACTGACAACACTTTATTCATCATTTCTCCTCCGTTTGTATCTATTTCCTTCCTCCATTTTATTTCCTCAACCATGGCTGTCTACATCATTTTGGATGTTCACTTCCAAGGATCTTTGCCAAGTACCCCATACGATACATCGATAAAATTAATCAGAGGCTGCAAAACATTGATTTCGAAGGCATAGACAAGGACGAGTGCTACGTGTTCATGGAAAGATTCACATGAGAAAAATGTGATAAGCTCTATTACTGTTTTCCTGACAGTTGATTTTCCAAAAGGTTTGAGGTTAATTAGGAATGAACTCCAGTCTGCCGAATTTATAGCCATTGTGTATGAATGTGGTGTTAAAATCCTAATGTATGCATACCATTTTAGTAATACTAACATGAAAGAGTGGTTGGATGAATATAGAGAGGAAGTAGTAGATAATATCCAGGAAGAAGTAGTATATGATGTACAGGCTGATGTTGAAACGAGTGAGACAAAGCATAGGAATGAAAATTTCAACCCTCATTTTTTCAAAAAAGATAATGCTCCAGATTGTGAGATGGGTGAGAATATAGGTCATCGTAAACCTGTTGATGTTGACATGGTTGAGAATGAAGCAGAAGAAGTTGATAGTGCTGATGATTTGCCAAATATTTTCAATGAAGAGCAACACTGGAAGGAGCAAAAACCTGTGGTAGGTATGAGTTTTGAGAATCCTAAACAACTCAAAGACACACTATGTAATTATGCAGTTGCAAATGGTTATCAACTATGTTTTATAAGAAATGATAGTAGAAGGGTATTAGTTAAATATTGTGATGTAAACTATAATTTTAGGCTTTAGGGGTCATGGATGAGTGACGATCAGTCTTTCCAGATCAAGTCTCTTGTAAATGAGCATAATTGTTCTAGGAATTTCAAATTTGGCTCAATTGCCACTTAGAGATGGATAGGAAGCCATTTCACTCAAAGAATTTGTAAACAATCATAAGATGAGTGTTAGACTGCTTAAAGTGGAGGTGAAGAACACATTTGACATTAAAGTGAGTATGATTTAGTGTAGGAGAACCAAAAACATGCTTTCACTCTAGTCGAAGGAACAATTATAGATATTCAAAAAGAGCCAAGACACTAGAGAGTATCTTGGGGTTGTAATTGAACAAATAAAGTGCAATAGTCAAATAAACATTTGTAAATTTGCAAGTATAAAAATTGATTAAAGCACAAACAATAGGTAAAAAAGATTGTGAGAACACAAAGATATACGAGAAAAGCCCTTAATCCTTTAGGATCTCCGGTATAAAACATCAGGAGGTGACAATGTCACACTTCCTTAGAACTTTTATTAAATAAATGCTAGCTGATTATGATGATTGTGTAATTATGTTCAAGAGTGAACCTTGTAATTTTGTTCAAGTGTGTTCAAAGAGAAAGTGCGAGTAGAAGTTAGAACATGTCTATGAAGTATGATCAACTAGTCTTATGAATAAACAAGGATCTTATAACTAATTGTCCTAATATCTCGGGATGTTCCTTGATTCATGATTGACCCGATATTTAAGAAATACTTCAACATTTATTTTACTTTGACAACGTGCCCTTTAACTTGGTCCATCCCTTTTCAATAAAGTCTTTAATCCTGCATATAACATCACAAGAAATATGATGTTAATACCAAGATATTGACTAATCCAAGATCTTGAGTTACCTAGGATGTTAGTATAAGTTTCAAGATATTTTTAATAAGTAAAGGTGAAAATTCTACCCATCCCAACTGCCCCCATAAATCTTCAATTCAAGATCTTAGGAGTTAGAGATATCTAGAATTGAAAATCAGCCGTTATATGCTGAAGAGACGAAATGACTGTTTGATTTCCCAGGAAAGATAAATTCTTTTCGGCCTGGTGACTGGATATTCTTCCCTATAAATTTGATTTAACATTTTCTTAATTTCCACGTCTCAGAGGTAATTCTTTCTTTATCTCTTCAATTCTCTTTGTTTTTTGTCATGGAAGAAGTCCTCATGTTATCAAAAACGCAAAATAAGGGTTTTGTATATGATGATTTTATTGACTTGGGTATATTGACCAAGAAGTAAAATGAAAGTTGTAATTTTTCCAACTCTAGAAATAAGTCCCTTCAATCGGAAGGAAAATTTCCTTCTCAAACCATTTTCAAGGGTTCTGACTCTCATTTAAGACATGAGTTTTTGTCCTCGTTAATGGGTCTGTTTTATCACCTTCTGTTTCTATTAGGCTCTCTTTTCCTTTTCCTTCACTGATTTATATTTTTTTCCTTGTAACCAAGTTTACCTATGCTCAAATTATGCCCATGACTTGGCTTACTTTATTCTGGATTGATCATGTCAATAAGATTAGAAATCTTAATCTTGGTTTATTTGAGATTGCGAGTCATTACAATCTTCAAACTTGTGGGATTTCTTGAATCATATTTAAAATAAGACATGAGAAACCTCACTTAGTCTTGAATACATCCTGTCATGATGACGTATGAAAGAGAAAATATTTCTTTGTAAATAGGAAGTATCTTGAGAATGGTGAGTCATTTCCCTTTTATTTGATTTCGGATGGTAGGGTTCTTGACTTTTTAGTGTTTGTAACACTTGTTTATGCATATTAATTTTTCTATTTTATTCCCGCCAAAGGAAGATACTGAAGAGAAGTTTCATAAGTTTTTGAGCTTACTGGTGGTTGTCGAGGCCAAAAAAATAAATACTCTTAATATTATACACAAAAAAAAACGTATAATGGTAAAGTGATCGTATCCAGAGAGATTGGTTCAATTTTATAAGTCTATGAAGGTCTCTTTGTTCAAGCACTTACGAAACAAAAATAAAAGTAAAAATGGGGGTTTAAATCTTTTTGGTTGTTTTGAGAAAACTAAAATTATACTAGAATGTAGAAATTGTAAATAAATTAGTATAATGTTTGATTTGAATCAATGAAGCGAAGATGGCTGACAATGGAATTCACCACACAGATTTCTTAGTTAACTTATCATTAGACAAAATGGTGCAATACTTGTGATTTTATTTAACTTGGCTATAGTAATTCATAAGCATAGTTCACCTCAACTCTTCTTTATTATTAAAATGGATAGAGAAGCTCATAACACATTTCCTTAATCAAAGTCACAAAACTAATGAAGCATGTAATTTTGGGAAATTCAATTAGCATTAAGTTTTAAGAGTCACAAAGTCCAAAAGATAATCAAAGGCTTACATTATCATTATGGAGGAAATATTTCCATGGATTAAGTGAAATGAAAATAAACACATAAACAATTTGTTGCTTAATAATTTAAGAGTCCATTACTTAACCAATAAATTAGTCAAAAAAATAATTATTCATTCATCCATGCTCATGATCAAAGACAAACAAACATAAAAAGATGTTTAACTAGAAAACATTTCCATAAATTTCAAACACAAGTTCATAAGAAATCCGCAAAGTAACTAATCATCCATGGGTTAAACCAACATCAACCAAAGATAAACTTAGCCTAACATGGATAAGGTTAAAGAAAAGTAAGATAGTCTAGAAATACCAAACATTGTTCAAGATGAAAGATGAAAAATCCACCAAATTTTTCAGTCTTCTTGAGAGAAAAATATGTGTATTCCTCCAAAGAGTTCCCCCTTCTTAGCTCTCTATATTCAGTCAAATATGCTGAAAAATCGAATCTAAAAGTTGTCCAAAAAGTATCCTACCAAACTTCCCAAAGTAGAGGAAAGAGGCTAAAATCCGGATTTTTCACCGAACGATCCATGCGGACCATTTGTAGATTCACGCGTACTGCGTGTAAGTGCAGATTGGGACAATTTCGCCCAATTTCAAATGGGATTCCTTCTCCATTGCCTCTTGTCTTGATCCAGCCCAAATGCAAGGCTCTTGATAGCCCAAATATGTCATCTAAACTCTTCAAAGATGGTCCATTGCTCATTTTATCTTCCAAAGCTCATATTTTCCTCATCCTACCAAAATGAGATCCATGTAGAGTGAAGAATCGAGCACGTGATGAATAATGGGCGCCATTGTAGTTGCCAACCAAATATGAAATCTAAACTAGAAATTCATCAAAATAGAAACGAGCTACATAAAATAGAATCCAAAATAATCTAAACATCTAATGAATGAGATATAGATGCAACTCCTTGGCCCGAGCTTTTTAATATATATATATATATATATATATATATATATATATATATATATATATATAATAGTTTATGTCTTCGTTTTTATAATTGTAATTGTATCTTGGGGTTTTATATATATATATAAGAACATATAATAACTAAAGTCCCTATGAGTGATTCTTACTTGTTATGTGAGCTTCCAAAAGAATTGTAATTAAGGTGTGTCGACTTTTTCAAGTAAAGATGTTCGGGCATGAGAATAAAGAGATAACAAAAATGCATGCATGGTAATGTCCTAGGTTAAATGTTATGCTAAAATAAAAATGGAAAAGATGGAAATAAAATCTTTTTTTTTTTGGATTTTTTATATAAAAAAATGAATGCAAATTCTTAAAGACTAGTATGCTATGCAACCTAACTAAAATGTATGCAAAAGTAAAAGTGAAAGGAAATACCCCACCCCAAGCTTAGAAATAAGCATTGACCTCAATGGTTGGGGGAAGGGCGAAGTACCTAAATCGGGGGGTTAGGAGGAGGATAGGGGTATTGGTATTGTGGGTAAGGGTAAGGGTAAGGTGGAGGGGGATAAGGATGTGTAGAGGGAGGGTATGGATATGGAGGAGGAAGCGGTAGGTTCTCGAAATGATTTTGAGATTGGTGCCAACCCCACACATGATGCATCTGTTGTGAAATGATTTGGTTGGAGACACAAAGAGCATCAAATGGTTTGGAAAAATTAGGGGGGGGGGGCTGGCAGTATCCTAGGGGCACTTGTGGATGCGTTTGTTCGGGATTGTAGGTGGGCTCATCATCAGACTCGTCATCGATGTTCATCTCTTCTTGAGGAAGGACTGCTTTCTCACGAACCATTTGGGTAATGGTCCTCTCGAGTCTCCATTGATTGCGATCATGATGAGTGAAATTGGAGACTCTAGGATCGGCAATAATGAGATACTCAACCCCTTGAGGACAAAACCATATGAAGCCACCATCACTATTTCGGCGGATGTTATGCATGTTTTTTAGAACCCGTACATCTAAAATATTCTTGTCGTCTACGGGGAATGGAGTCTTCTGGGAACTCGATCCCGAGACCGCGTGCTAAAAGAGTGACAAATCCTCCTATGCAAATATCACTAGATGTTTTAGCTTTCATGCTGACACACTTGTAGAAAAAGAATTAAGCAAAATATGGGATGGGAGGGTTTTCACGCCTTGTCATGCACCAAAGGAAAATGAGTTCAATCTTCGTGACTTGACTGACTTCTTTTCGGGAAAAAAACAGTGCATACTAAGATATGATGGGCAATACAGAGAAACAGGTGAATGATGGAGGTTGCATTGTCGCAACCGACACAAGAAAAGATCCCACCGGTGATCTCTGTATAGATAGTCTCATGGTTAAACTATGGAGGTAGTGTATCGGAGGTCAAGAATGTGTTCGTTGATGGCAATACCATGATGTCATTGACCCTCTCGAAATCAAGAAAGGTCGGTTCCCCCATAAGTTGGAATCCAACTTTTCTTGCCTCGTTTTTAAAACTACAGTCAACAAGGAATTCTCTAGTAGGAAGCTGGTATGTATGAACCATGAGGTTGAGAGATTCTCCCATCCGATATTAGGGAATAATTGGGCAACACCGTCGAGAACTCCCAATTTGGTGAGGGTGGTTGTGTAAACAAACTTGGTTGAAGCAACCTT